TCTTCAACCACCTCCCATGTGTCTTGAGAACCGAGAAAAGCTTTCATTTGGATGCTCCAATTCTCGTAGTTCGTCTTTGTTAATCGCGGTAGTGGCATTTGACCCATCACATTCGCCATCGACTCTGATACCAATTTGTTAAAATAAAACTAACTCATTTGTGAATTAATCTCACACACACTAACAATCAAACGCTCCAATACCGCTTTGTAAAAGTACTACTCGCGTACTTATGATGTCGAGAGGGGAGAGACAAAGAGACAAAGAATACTGAAAAGGGCCGAGATCTTTTCTCGTGCTGTCTGCTCTTTTCCTATGACTTTATAGGAAAGCGATGAGGTATACCTTTTCTATTTTTAATAATTGTGTGAGAGAAACTCTCATAAATCCTACCATCATCCACGGAAAGAATTTCTATTTCTAATAATAAGGTGAGAAACTCTCATAAATCCTACCATCATCATTCCCTAGGAGAACTCCCCCTCCTCCTTTCAACTGACTTTTCTAAATTAGTTTTCCTAACATAACAAATTTACTGCATTTGTCATGGGGGTGTACACCCAACCCGACCCAACCCGAAATATAAAGATTGGGGGTTGGGTTGTGTTGGATTTTGGGTTTGGGTTGGGTCCATTTTTTTAACCCGATCTGATTTGGGTTGGGTTTGGGTACCAAAAGAAAATGATTGGGTCAACCCGACCCAACCCAAAAATATTAAAAAATAAATAAAGCCCAACGACCCAAAGTCAAAGCCCAATCTACAATTTATCTAGTCTCTAACCAAAGCCCAAGCCCAGACCTGACACTTCAAAACCTACTTCATTAGTGGAAGAAATTTCTCTCCCTCCCTGCTATGTGCTCTGCGTCCTTGGCAGGAACCCTCCCTCTACTCTCTTGGGAAATGACTGTTATTTTAAATCAAGTTATTTTAAATTTCTACACAAATCCAGCTCTCTCCACTAAATCCATTCCTCTCCCTACCTCTCTGCCATCTATTCTGCTCTAAATCTATTCCTCTCCCTACCTTTCTGCAATCCATTCGGCTCTAAATCCATTCCTCTCCTTACTCCTCTACAATCCATTCTGCTTTCTCCTTACCTCTCTCCTCTCAGCCTCTCCACAAAATACAAATCTCTCTCGATACTTAGTCTCTCACAATAAATTTGATCTCAATAGCATTCTCTCGCATTCTTTGTCTTGTTTCTTTCTCACGCTCCGTCTTTCTCTCTTTCGTCTCATGGAACGCTATAACGGGTAAACTTTTTCTCTTTTTGTTATATCCCCTTGCAAAGACTCATTGTATATTTTAACTTTGATGCATTCTATGATAATTGTTCATATTGGGTTAAATGTTTGAATCATAATAGTTCTATTTTACTTTTTATAGAGGGAAAACAATAGTGCAATATGTGTAAATAGCTCTAGTAATTATAATGCATCAAAACCACCATTGGCTACACAATCTGAATTTAAGAAGAAGAAACCCAGTAAATCAACCGTGTGAGATCACTTTACAAGATTAGAGAACAATAATAAGAGGTGCAAGTGCAACTATTGTTCTAAGGAGTATGCTTACGCTTGTGATACTAATTCTTGTGGAACTAGCACCTTATGGAAGCACTTAAAAAATTAGTGTAGAAAGTACACATAGAAGGTGGAGGACAAAGGACAAACCACTCTAAGTTTTCAACGTTCAATAGATGGGAAGGGTGGTAGTAATATTGTTACTTCATTATTTAGTCAAACGAGACGTAGAGCAGCATGTGCCAAGATGATAATTATGGATGAATTATCATTTAAATTTATAGAGAATGAGGGTTTCAAATTATTTTGTAGTATTGCATGTCCTAAGTTTGACCCTCTGTCAAGAGTAACCATTGCTAGAGATTTCAGCTCTATCTAGAAGAAAAATGAAGTCGAAAGATTTTTTAGTCAGTCATTCCAAGAGGGTTTGTCTTACCACTAATACATGGACTTCGTTGCAAAACATTAATTACATGGTAATCACCGCACATTTTATTGATTGAGAATGGAATTTACATAAAAGAATTCTCAACTTTTGTCAAGTTGCTAACCACAGAGGAGAGACTATTAGCAAGATTATTGAGAGTTGTTTACTGGAATGGAGAATCGATAAGGTTTTCTATATCACAGTTGATAATGCAAGTTCCAATGATATAGGTATTTCATATATTATGAGAAGGCTTAGAAGTTGAAATTCACCTGTCTTAGATGGAGAAATATTACACATGAGGTGTTGTGCTCACATAATTAATTTGATTGTGAATGAAAGGCTTAAAGAAATGCATGACTTCATTTCTAGTGTTCGCAATGCTGTGAGGTATGTTAGATCATCCCCCAAGAAATTGACAAAATTTAAAGATCGTGTTGAACATGAAAAAATTAAATGTAAAGCACTTGTTTGTTTGGATGTGGCGACTCGATAGAATTCCACTTATTTGATGCTTGATCATGCCTTGAAATTTGAAAAAGCTTTCAAAGTATTAGAGGAAGAAGAATTAGATTATGTTGATTACTCCAAAGGGGATCATGGAAACAAAAGAATAGGGTCACCAACCATTGATGATTGGAAAAATGTTGTGTAAAATTTTTAAAGGTTTTCTATGATGTCACTACGAAGATAAGTGGTTCTTTATCTGTGACTTCTAATTCTTATTTTCATGAACTTTGGGGTATTCGAGAACTTTTAATTCAGCGGAGTAAAAATGTGAACTCTGTTTTAAGTAACCTGAGTTCAAATATGAAAGTTAAGTATGAAAAGGGGCTTAGTGGAAAGAATTAATAAGTTGATATTCATAGTAGTGGTACTCGATTCTTGTTACAAATTGGATTACATATCATTTTGCTTTTTGAATATTTATGAAGATGCTATGGCTAAAGTGATGGTGGATGACATAAAGAATTATTTAATTCGTTTGTATGATTACTACAAGTTTTATGATAATGCTCAAGATCATCATCAACCTGAATCAAGACTCACTTCTAAGTCCATGAGTATAGAGATGGACACAATTGATGAAGAGAATTTGAGTGGTTCAATATTAGTATTATCAAGATACAAAAGAAGAAGAGAAGAGCAAAATTCACTCGAGTTAAAGAATGATGTGGATTGATATTTATGAAGAGAAGAGCAAAATTCACTCTAGTTAAAGAATGATGTGGATCGATATTTATCTGACCCCAGTGAAGAACTTGATGATAATTTTGATGCTTTGACATGGTGGAAAGCAAATGAGTTTAAATATAGAGTTTTATCGAAATTGCCGAAGATGTTTTGACTGTTCCAGTGTCTTCTGAATCAACATTTAGTACGGGTAGGAGGATTCTTGATTCTTTTAAGAGTTATTTGACACCTAAAATAATGGAAGCTCTATGTACATCAAATTGGATGGGTAGGAAATCTTAGATATTCCTTAACAACTTGAAGATTTGTTCTAAGATTGAGATAACTGTCTATTTGTTAAGATGTATTCTATATTGTTATATTACAATTTATATTTTATTTTTCAGATGATTTAAGACCTTCAAGCTCCACCAACGTCATGCAAGAATAATTATTTTTCAATGTAAGTAAAATATTTGAAGTTACACTACGCTTTATCCAAACAACTTAAAACGTACTAACTTTCAAGATGCTATTTTTCTTTTGTAGGAATTAAGAATGCAATAGAGGGTTGGATAGTTTTAAATTTTGAGGCATTTTGTTGAATGTTCTAATTTTGGAATTAATTCATTGAATATTCTTTACATATTTATAGGTGAATTTTTAGACATTTTGTTGAATGATTATATATTGTGAATGTAGATAATTTAATTAGATGTGGTAACTTTGGAATTGATTCATTGCATATTTTTTTACATATTTATAGGTGATAATATGAATGAAATAGAGAGTTTGATATTTTGATCTACAACTTATAGGTAGTAATTGTTTTATCATTTTAAGTCATACAAATTAAATTTTTTTAATTTTTTTGGACCAACCCGAACCTAACTCAAACCCAACCCGGGGTTGGGTTTGGAAAATTTTTTGGGTTGGGTTAGATTACCAATCCAACCAACCCGAACTTTTGGGTTGGGTCAAAAACATCCTTCAACCCAACACAGACCATGACACCCCTATTTGACATTTTAAGTTTATGACTCAACATTAACCAGATAGCGTAAGCTTCCAATAACACTTCTATAAAGTGTTTTATCAACCGCAGGTTCTCCATTCCCATGTTTGCTCATCTTCATTCTTGGTTCCATGGGAATCAAACAAGGATTGCACTCCCCCATTCCTAACTTCTCTAGGATTTTTCTTACATATTCGGTTGGACATAAAGTGATTGATTCACTGCTTTGTTGTACCTCAATACCCAAGTAATAGCTCAAAAGTCCAAGATCACTCATCTCTAGGTTTTGCTGCATCTTTTATTTGAATTGAGCTATAACTTGTTTGTTTGAGCCGACTATGATTAAGTCATACACATATGTGCTGATTATCATTGGTTAACTCCATTAATTTTCTTGTAGAGAGTATAATCCTGTGGACATCTAACAAAACCAAATGACTGCAAATATTGATCAAGTTTAAAATTCCAAGCCCTTGGAGCCTGTTTAAATGCATATAAGGCTTTACGTAGTTTTAATACAATGTTTGGATTTTCCTTGTCAACGAACCCTTATGGTTGAACAACATACACCTCCTCTTCTAACTCGCCATTCAGAAAAGCTGTCTTCACATCCATGTGATGTACTTCCCAGTTCTTAATGGCTGCATAGGCAAGAATTAATCTCACTGTTTCTAACCTGGCCACTGGTGCGAATACTTCACTGTAATCTACACCAAACTACTGTGCATATCCCTTTGCCACGAGTCTCACCTTATGTTTCAGATTTCTCCATCTAAATTTTTCTTTAATTTGAAAATCCATTTGATGCCGATTGCTTTATGATTTTTCGGCAAATATGTGAGTTCCCACGTTCTATTCTTTTCAATGGAGAGAATTTGAGACTTCATGGCATTCCTCCTCTTCTTCCTCCTCTGCTTTGTTCAGTTCTCTATAAATATCTTCTAGAGACCTGAACTTTTTTGATGTCGACAAGCTTGATGATGATGCATTTGAGGTATAGTCTGGCGTTGATAAAGTTGAGGACGAATTTTCCCTTTGCCTTTCATCTAGATCAACTTCGATTTGTTCAATATTCCTCTCCTTTGTTCTACTCCGTTTTTCTGAAATTTGAACCGTGAAAGTTCCTCTTTGTTCGTCATCACCGTTTATGATTTCTTCCCAACACCACTTTTTCTCCTTTTCGAACAACACATCCCTGCTTACCATAATTCTGTTCTTTTGTGGATCCAATAGTCTATAAGCTTTGGTTCCATCTTCATATCCCAACATAATTATCTTCACACTCCTATTAGCAACTTTAAGAAGGTGTGAATATGTATTATTGGCATGAGCAAGACACCTGAAGATTTTAAAGTGATAAACCTTCGGTATCTTGTCAAACCAAGCTTGATATGGTGTACCATCTGCAACTCCTTTTGTTGGCGATTTGTTTAGAATATATACAGCAGTTTTGCAGGCATCTCTTTGCTCTTTAACATACATCTGGTCATCTCTACAACCGTTCGATTACGCCTTTCTACTACGCCATTTTGATGTGGTGAAAATGGTGCAGTAAAAAATCTCTTCATGTCTTCATTCTCGTCATAGTCTTTAAAAGTAGTAGATACAAACTCCCCTCCACGGTCCGTTCTAAAGCTCTTAATCTTCTTGCCTTTCTCTACCTCCACACTAATCTTGAACTTTTTAAATACCACCCTTGTTTCATTCTTGTTTTTCAACAAAAACACCCACATAAATCGTGAAAAATCATCCACCAGTAACATGAAATATCTGTTGCCTCCATAAGTCATTGACGAAATAGGTCCACATAGATCTCCATGGACGAGATCCAATGACTCCTTCGCATGATAATTTGTTGTTCACGGAAAAGAAGTCATATGCTGCTTTCCAATTAAACACCCATCACAGAATTGATTGACCTGGGTGATTTTCGGCAACCATTCAACCATTCTTTTGTCATTTAATTGCTTTAAAGAGTGAAAATTCAGGTGTCCATACCCGCGTGCCAGAGCCAACAATCGTTACTTATATTTGCCATTAAACTCACCTGATCTGCAAGCTTCAGCTTTGCTACATACAATCGGTTGGATTTTCTGGTCACCATAATAATCAAGCTCCTGACCTTGTCATATATCTTCATCACACTGTCCTCTATAACAATTTTATTTCCACTCTCGTCCAGTTGTCCCAAACTTATTATATTGCTTTTGAGTTTAGGTATGTAACAGACTTGCGATAAGATTAAGTGCTTATTGGTTTTGCATTTGAAGAGCACTATTCCTCGACCACAATTGTCTATTACAGAGTTATCACCGAAACGTACCTTTCCAACAACAGATGTGTCGAGCTCACGAAACACCCTCCTTTCTCCTGACACATGGTTGCTTGCTCCAATATCTAGGTACAAGGAATTTTCAGCTCCAATATTGGCCGGTGGTGGCACTATAGTTTCATTTAACATCACAAAATCAGGCTCTTTGTCATGTGTGGTCTTAATTTCACACGCCTCTATCATCAGCAATGAAGACTCCTCATCCTTTTGCGTCTCTATCAAGTTGAGTTGTTCGTCTTTTGTGGAATACTCTGATGCGAAGTGTCCCATCTGCTAACGCCTGTAACATTTAATTTTACTTTTGTCGAATTTCTTCTTTTGAGGTTGTGACTCTCCTTCATCTCCTTGATGCCAGTCACTTCTCCCACGACCTCTCCATCTTCCATGACCCCGTCCCCTGCCTCCTCTGGAATTGCCTTGATCCTTCCGTTCTTTCTTTGAGGATTTTGCATTCTCTCGTCCCTTTCATTCTGCACGAGTGAAGAAAACAGTTTCATCTTTTTCTCCAAACCCTTGCAACCTTTCTTCATTTTCCTTGAGTGATCCAATAATCTCATCAATGGATTTCGTTTTGAGATCAATGAACTCCTCAATCGTTGAAGTGATTTGAAGAACCTCTGTAGAGGTGGATCGTAGAAGTTTCTTAACTACTTGGACATCATCCACAGCGTTGCCGAGGCCTCTCAATTTGTTGACAATAATCTTAACTACTTGGACATCATCCACAGCGTTGCCGAGGCCTCTCAATTTGTTGACAATAATGACGAGTTTTCCAAAATACTCATCAATACTTTCTGAATCACCTATCCTCCTCAACACTTCAAACTCCCGCCAGAGAGTCTGCGTTCTAACTTCTTTCACTCTTTCCGCACCTAGATTCATATTTTTCAACATGATCCAGGCTTCTTTGGTTGTTTTCTTGGCACCCAACTGTAGCAACGTATCTTCTCCAATACTTTGATAAATAGCTGCTAAAACCATCTTATCTTTGCGGTTATCTATTGTTTCGGGTGATTCAATTGCCTCCCAAACACCTTGTGCCATCATAAATACCTCCATCTTAATCACCCAAGCTGCATAGTTGCATTTTGTCAACATCGGGTATTTGAGTGTGACAGATCCCTCCTTTTCTCGAATCCGTACACGCACTTCGTTTGAGGCATCATCTTCTATTGCACCGGTGCTTTGGCTCCTGTCGTTCGATTCCTGTCTCAGTTTTTGATCTCTCTCTCTTCTTGACCGCTCAATCCCTAGGTGAGACGTGATTGAAAATAGACCTTGATCTTGTATCTCTGATACCAAATGAAAGAAAATAATAGAAGGGGAGAAGGAGCAAGACACACAAATTAATTTTGTCTTCTTGGGGTGTTTTACTAACTTGACACCATTTTCTACGATAAAAAATAACACATTTCTTGCTACAAATCAGCCACCACTCCTTTAACTAATTCCACTCCCTATCAACTAGTTTCACTCTTTCACTTACTTCCACTAAGAAATAAACAACAATTGAAATAAACAACAGTTATAAAATAAATACTAACAACTATTTTTAACCAAAAACTTACTAATCAAAATAATAAAACAAATTTATAACCAACTGAATGACTAACTAAGTTGAAAGAACTTAGGAATAAATGCAGGAGTTGTTAGCCCTGGCTTCACACACCTGAGCATGTCACCTAGGGAGCACTAGTATTATTTGTGAAGAGAAAAGAAAGATTAATGCGGTTATGGGTAAAAAGACAGGTCTATGCAGTCATGCGACTATAGAGAACTAAGTAGGGTAACACTGAAGAACAAATACCCAATGCTACTAATAGTTGACATGTTCGACCAGTTGCTAGAACCTCAATGTTCTTAAAGATTTATCTATGCTATGGACATCATCAATTGAGGATTAGAGAGAGGATATATCCAAAACTTTTTCTTGAACTCATGATAGAGGTATATAAGAATGATTCCTATCTCGCCTAAAAGGGGAGTTGTTGACGACCTAAAATTAGGCAAGATTGTTGGGAAGGTAGCCATATTTGATGGAGTTTTTCTTGTTAGGTAAGAAGGCAGATGGGTTTTGGAATGAAATTAGGAAAATTAAGAAGAATGGAATTTTTTCGTTTGAAAAAATTGGAAAAGGAATGAGAGGAGAATTGCAAGAGGGTGCAAGAAAAAAAAAAGGAGAGGAAGTTTTTTATGAGTGGGTTTGATGATGAAGAAGATATTTATGTATTATTGGGAGACTTAGAGAATAAAAAGAAGAGAGAAATGGGTTTGGTATCTTCCACGGAAAAGAGAACAGTAGAGGTGTTCTTGGGTTGAATTGGGTTCAGGACATTTTTTCTTTCGTCCCAATCCAATTACCTGAGTTATATATTTTTTCAATTCAAACAATTATTATTATATAACGAACTCAGCTCAATCAAACTATAAATTTTGAGTTAGGTTGTGTCATGACTCAATTTTTGAGCTTTCGAGAAATTGGATTGCGACAAAAAGACGAAATCAGACACAAACAGAACGGAATAAATATAAAACAAAACATTGAAATGGTAGAAAATAAGGTAAAATTTTGCGTGGTTTTAAAAGACATACAACCCGAGTTTCAATATCCAAGTTATTTACAAATAGAGAACAGAGCACGGAATACAAAAGAATACAACTAAATGACGCCCCGGGTCGACACCCCTATGTGATAGTGCATCTCCAAAGCACTTCCCCACCTTGACCGGAACATGACAAAAAAAGGGGAAAAAGGGGTGAGTATAAAAATATAGTCAGTAAGCAACATACTATTCTAATTGATTCTTCAATGATCGCCTACCTGTGTAGTCCCTAGTCCCTTTTCGAGACTAGTTTACGGTATCACAATGTCGACTTTGACCCGTTCCTACACTCAATAGAAATGTTCATACTAACCTACCTACCCGCATAGTCCTTGATCTCTTCCAAGACCAGTTTATGAAGTCAGCAACATCAACCTTGACTTTTTCCTATACTCAATAGGGTCTTTAATCGTGACACCTATCCATTATTGTGGGCTTGAGTCATTAAAGGTTGGTTCGAGTTGTTCGAGTCATTTATTCAATATTTTTGAACACTTTTGTAAATGAATGAATAGTGAAAAATGAAAAGAAACCCGAATTTGTATAATTTTGTGAGTATTAAAAGGGAAGAAAAGAGTTTTCATGAGCTCACTCGAGAAGAGAGTTGAAAAGTGAGGGGTTGGCTAAAGGAACACTCAAAAAAGGGAAGATGGAAAAGGCATATTCTAAGCTTCATGAATGTGCAAGGAAGGAGGGAATGGTATTGTTAATATAAATCATACAATTTGGGACTCAATTAAACTAATCGACTCTTCCCTTAAACTCTTCCCTTAAACTAATCGACTCTTCCCTCGTTCTGCCATAACACACCACGTAAGTTATCTTTACAAACCCTTTTTAATTTCATGCCATAATTAATTTATCCTTCACGTTTCTTTTCATATATCGTCCTCTAATTCTATATAGTTTTACTTCGTTAAGTACGATTATATGTTGTTTTTTTAAAAAGTCGATATGTTTACAATTTGAATAAGTGAGAAACGAATACTACTTAAAAAAAAAAAAAAAGTTAACTATTACGAGTTGGTAGAGTGGTACAATGAACTCTCGTGATCAAAGAGACTGTTTGAAAATATTTTATTTTATAGGAGAAGATAAAAATTCAATATTATTATTATTATTGGTTAAATTAATAAAAATACTCTTAAAATTTAGACTTTTTTAAAATATTAATTTCAATAATACTCTAAATTTTAAAACATTAATATTTTGTTCGAAAAATTCCGTTAAAAATTATTTCAAAAATATTTTTAACTTATTTAAAAATAGCTAAAATTTTAAAAGGTTCATTAATATTCTTAAATTTTTTAAAAAGCTTTAAAAATAGTCTAATCATCTACCAACTTTGATACTATTGAAATAACATTAAAAAGATGGATGATTTATGAGTTGTCTATAGACAATTTTCGTCTATATATTCACAGTAAAATTTTTCTCAAACATTTTTTTAATAAAAATTAAAAGTATTAATGCTAACTTTAAAATTTCATAGGTATTTTCTTTAAGCATAGTACTAATTGTATTTTAAGATTTTTTTTAGATCGAAGTGTATTAATAAAACTTTTTAAATTTTTAAGAATATTTTCAAAATCATATTAAAAGTTCAGACATATTTTAGATTCTTTTTTAAAATTTGAAAGTTATTATTAAAACTTAAAAAGAAAAATCTAGAAATATTTTTGAGAAAAATAGAAAATTAAAAGGTATTTTTATTAATGTAGATTATTTGTTTTGGATAATATTTTTAAATAAACATTTCAAATATTTAAGATGATTGATAATAAAATGTCTAAAATAAAATTCTTTTTTCTTTATACGATTTTATTAAATTAATATTTTAGTAATATGTAAATTTAACAACAAAACTAGTCTAGTGTTAGAATAGTACCCTATCACGATACAGATGATCTATGCCGAAGTGGTAGTTGGGTCTATCACAGCCTTTTCGATCTATTAGGACGATGTTCGGTGCTGCAGAGTCTTGTGGTCCCTTTTTTCAATTTTTTTTTTTTAATGGAATGATTTCATGGTTATTTTTGCGGAATCCATTATTCTTACAACATCTTGTTCATACCTCAACTTTTTTTTCACAAAAAGACAATTTCTTTCAAGTATTTTGATGATTATGCCATCCGCAGGATATTCAAAGAGCTCGAGTGGAAATTCTAGTCTCAATAGCTGAATCAATAATGGGAGAATATGTGATTAAACCCATTGGACGTCAACTAAGCTATCTCCTCTGCTACAACAGAAACAAAAACAAGCTCAAAGAGCAGCTCGAAGCTCTCAAGACAGCGCGCAGGGACGTCCAAGGACGAGTCCAGGAGGCAAGGAGCAACGCATATGCAATCCGCGAGGAAGTTTCAAAGTGGTTGGCTGATGCAGACAACGCCATCCATGATGAGCGATCATCAAATTCTTCAAACCCATCAGCCTTTAATTTGGTGGATAGATACCAATTAGGCAGAAAAACAAAGAAGAAAATTGAAGCTCTTCATGAACTCATAGCCAAAAGAATCAACTTTGTGGAAGTGGGCTACCCTGCACCGCTTCTAGAGACTAAGAACATCATTGTTCCTGGTGGGTATCAAGTTCTGGAATCCAAGATTTCAATGGCTAAACAAATCAAGAAAGCACTTCAAAAGGCAGAGGTTAGCAGGGTTGGTGTTTATGGCATGGGAGGCGTTGGAAAAACTTACTTGCTTAATGAAGTTAAGAAGATGGTTTTGGAAGAAGTGTTTGATCGAGTGATTGAAGTGTTTGTAGGCCAATCCAATGGAGTTATACAGATTCAAGAACAAATTGGAGATGTTTTGAATGTAAAATTACCAAAGAGTAAGGAGGGAAGAGCTTCTTTTCTAAGGAATAATTTGGCTAAAATGGAAGAGGATGTTCTTGTTATATTGGATGATTTATGGAAGGAATATGATCTTCTAAAAGAGATTGGAATTCCTTGTTCTTCATCATGTAAAGTACTTATGACGAGTCGATCACAGGATATATTGATGAACAACATGAACGCAACAGAGTGTTTTCAGGTGAATTCTTTAAGCGAAGAGGAGTCATGGAAGTTCTTCACAACTATCATTGGTGATGAGTTTGATACTCCTGATATGGAGAATTTGGCTAAGATGGTAGCAAGAGAATGTGGAGGGCTTCCTCTTGCGCTTGATACCATTGCCAAGGCATTGAAAGGGAAGCATATGAACCATTGGAAGGATGCTTTAAGCAAATTAAGAAACCCCATAGGAATGGATATCAAAGGAGTTAGTGACAAAGTTTATGCTTCATTGAGATTGAGCTATGATCATTTAGTTGGAGAAGAACCCAAGTTAGTGTTCCTTTTATGCAGTGTTTTTCCAGATCATTACAAGATTTCTTTGAATGATTTGCAAATGTATGCAATGGGTATGAGATTATTGAGAAACATAAACACATGGGAGGATGTGAAGAACAGAGTATTGAAATTGGTTCATGATCTTAAATCTTGTTCTTTACTTCTTGAACATTCAAGTGATAAATATGTTAAAATGCATGATATTGTTCGTGATGTTGCCATACACATTGCATCAACGGAGGGTATCATGCCAACATTGAGCTTTGGATCTAAGCTTAGTGATTGGGAAGATGAGTATCAAAGTGGAGCTCATCGTGCTATCTTTGTAAACTGTGATAACTTTCAAAAACTTCCCCAAAACTTGAACTTTCCTGATCTCGAGCTCTTGATATTAAGATCATCAAATGGGTTTGTGGGAAATCTTGAAATCCCAGATGGGTTTTTTGCAGGAATGGAAAAGATTAAAGCTTTGGACATAACAGGGATGAGTTTCCTCCAAACTTCTTGGAGATCATTGAAGAACATTCGAACATTATGTCTGTTACGCTGTGAATTCAATCATATTGACACAATTGGGGAGCTGAAGAACTTGGAGATCTTAAGGATTTGTAGCTGCAAGGAGCTGGATCATTTACCTGTGGCTATGAATCAATTAACAGAACTTAAGGTACTCGAAGTGTTAAATTGCTCGAACTTGGAGGTGTTTCCTGCAAATATTATTTCAAGTATGAACAAACTAGAAGTGTTGAAATTACGCGACAGCTTTGATAGATGGGGAGAAGAAGTATGGTACAAAGATGAAGTAATTAAGAATGTTACACTTTCTGAGCTGAACCGTCTGCCACGCCTTTCAAGCTTAAGATTAGAGATCTCAAAATTCCGCTTTATGTCGCAGATAACCTCGGAAACATCAAGCAAG